ACCTGCTAGCTGGGTGACCCTGAGTAGATCACTTATCCTTTTGGAGCTTCAGTTTTTCTTATCAGGAAAAAAAATGCTAATAATATTTGCTTTACCTACTCCAGTAGCCTGTTATGAATACCAAAAGAAGATGTTGCATGGAAAAACAGGCAATAAAATAAAGATGATTATGGTAATGTTGTCCAAAATCACAGAATTTGTTAGTGATAGAATCAAGACTAAAACAGCTGGGTGCCTGGTCTTAAACCTCTTCAGGAACAAATACTAATTGAGCCAGCAGCTTTTCAGCCTCTTCCAGATCTTCAGAGCTACAGCAGACTGCAATAGTGATTACAAAGAGCAGGAAAACAGTATGGCGTGCTCTCAATGAAACAAAGAGCCCCTTCTCTCCCCGCTCTCCTTCCTCAGTGGCACAGACCCCTCCATTCCTTAAACAAGCTCACACAAGGCCATCACAGCAAGGCATGGCCGTCTTCTTTCCTTTTCATGGAAGAGGATTATTGAGTGGGAAGTGTTCAGGATGAGTGAGTGTTACTGGGGAGTGGGAGGTGGAGTGACAATCCTGGCCTAGATTGTGTTTTTCAAGTTTGATGCATGTCAGTGGAATGGCATCTACAGCCTGCTGAAGCTTTTGGAGAGTCAGAATTTGAGAGCTGGTGGGTGAGAAATTGCGATGTCTCCCTGATTATTCACCTCCTCCAACCTATATTTTTAATTCACCCACTCTTAATTCTAATCTTCCCTCCAAGCAATTTTCTAAAACTCAAGAAGCCAATTGCTGTCTTAGCAGCTTTCTCAGTCTCCCTCAAACAGCAGTCTAATGTAGAAAGGAGATACTAAAGTGTAGATAATCCCCTTATCTTACTTAACCATAAACTGGATTTTCCAACCAAGTTGACCAAAAAAAGATGTATCTAAACATTAAAAAGAAAAATCAACCTGTAAAAAGAGGTAGCTCAGACTTCCTGGGTTCAAAGCCTAGCTCCATCCCTTACTGACGTTGGACACTTACTCTGTTTCTCATTTCCTCTTCTGTGAAATGAGAATAATGAGTATAACACATAGGTGCCATAAGCGCTACATGAGTTAGTACATGTAAAGCCCTTAGAATAGTGCCTGGCACGTGCAACTACATCGAGCATTAGAGATTTTGCCACACCATACTAGATTACCACAACATCTGCCTATCTGGTCTCCTGCCCTCATTCCTTGCATCTAATCCATCCTCCTATGATTCAACTTTCTCATTCACCATTAAGTCCCCCTTCTCCCACCTTAAAGAATATGTTACCTATTACCTGAACTCTGAACTTCTTGGCTTAGCATTTAAGACACATCTTATCAGTTCCCTTCAACTCTGTCCAACTACATTACCCAATACCTCCAGATCAGGGCTTCTTAACCCTCAGCACTACTAAGGACATTTTAGGCTGGATAATTCTTTGTTGTGGGAGACTGTCCTGTACGTTGTAGGATGTTTAGCAGAATCCCTATCCTCTACCACTAGAGGCCAGCAGCAACCCTTTAGTTGTGACAACCAAAAATGTCTCCAGATATCGCCAAATATCGCCTGGTGGGTAAGAATCTCCCCTAGTTGAGAGCCACTGCTCTACAAGGACCCCTTCTCTTGCTGTGCTTTCTTTGCCATTTTTCAAACATCTCTGGACCATTCTCACTTTGTTTCTTTTACTCAGGGTATATTAATTTTTTTATTATAGTAAAATATACATAAAACTTACCATTTTAAGTGTACAGTTCAGTGGCATTAAGTATTTGCATCTTGCTGTGAAACCATCACCACCGTCCTTCTCCGTAACTTTTCATCTTCCCAAACTGAAATTATTCCATACTCATTAAATAATAACTCCCCGTTCTTTCCTCCTCTAACCCCTGGCAACAACCGTTCTACTTTCTGACCCTCTGAATTTGACTATTTTAGGTACCTCATAGAAGTGGAATCATAAAATATTTGTCCTTTTATGTCTGATTTATTTCACTTAGATGATGTCTTCAGGGTTCATCCATGTTGTAGCATGTGTCAGAATTTCCTTCCTTTTTCAGGCTGAGCTAACATCTGTGCCAGTTTTCCTCTATTTTGTATGTAGGACTCCACCATAGCATGGCTTGATGAGTGGTGTGTAGGTCCACACCTACATGTAATTATGTACTATGTAATTTAGTACTATACACATAAAATATGTATTAGTTTTCTATTGCTGCTGTAACAAAGTACCACAAACTTAGTGGCTTAAAACAATTCAAATTTATGATGCTACAGTTCTGTAGGTCAAATTCTGAAATGGATCTCGGAGAGCTAAAATCAAGGTGTCAGCAAGGCTGCATTCCTTCTGGAGCGTCTAGAGGAGAATACGCTTCCTTGCCTTTTCTAGCTCCTAAAGGCTAGCCACATTCCTTAGTTCATGGCCCCCTTCTTCCCTTTTCAAAGCCAGCAACCCTGCATTGCTCTCTGATCATTCTTTCTTAGCCACATCTCCCCCGACTCTCATCTCAGTCAGGAGATGTTCTTTTAAGGATTAATTTGATTAGGTTGATTAGGGCCCACTCAGATAATCCAAGATAATCTCAAGGTCCTTGACCTTAATCACATCTGCAAAATTCCTTTTGTCATGTAAAGTAACATTTTCACAGATTCCAGAGATTAGAGATCTTTGGGGGCCCATTATTCTGCCTACCACAAAGAGTACAAAATGTGAAACATAAGTAAACCTAGAATTGGTATTATATATGACTTTCTGAACACATTTTCTCCCTTTCATTTTAGCCAAGTAACATAATAACTCTTCATCCTCTGGACTTTTGAATGCTAACTGAATTTCTATAGACTCTTATGACCATCTGCTTTACTGACCAAGATATTTCATGAATTCACACTCTCTTTTCTGGTTTAGAATAATTGATATCAGAAACAGATGGGGTGAAATCTTTCAAAGTTTTGTCGTAACTTTAGCAAAGAAAGTTAGAAAAATCTAGCAAACTTGAAATACTGCATCCATATTAAGTATTAGTATTAGTATGTATACTTTATGTATGTTAAGTATACATATTAATGTGTGCTTAATACTTATATACTTATCTAAGTAGTAGTTGTTCAACCAAAAGTGGCCAATGAGATTTTCTCTTAAGTATTAGTGCCCTGGAGATGCCTGGCACTAGACAATTGAGACAGGGTCATCGTACATAATAATGTAGGTTGTTTTCAGCACAAGGTACCCAAAATCCATCTCATGCTCCATCCCCAATTCATACTCCATGAACTATGTCTATCTAGAAGAAGGGACACATGTTTTTCTGATTTTTACAAAGGTGCCACATGAGCTAGTGGTGGCTGATGCAGAGGGCATTCAGAAGGAGGGAGGGATGCACCTGCACCGTTGGCAGCTCCTTACTGGGACAGTTAGCCATGCTTAGGACATTGAGATAAGCTACACGTATACTATCCAAAGCATTCTGGTTCACTGCTGGAAGAGTAAGGAACAGCCAATAGAAATATATATCACCTACCCCTAGAGGTATGGCTGAAATATTCTGTACAGATAGAATATGGTGAAGGCAGAGCCAAGCTCTGACAGAGCCTCCATATGTAGGCATCAATGTATCATGGCCATCTTAACTTCTAGCCTCCTATTCTAGAGCCATTTCACCCAGGTCTATGGTGAATTGTTCATTTTAACTCAATGGTCCCCTTATCAACAGTATACATAGAACATCATATACAGCTGCTTTCTGACAGAGATATAAAAATATCAGTTTATACCTAAAATACCTCTCCAAAGTGACAAGGAGCTCCACCAAAATAAACCCTACTTAAATAGAATCAATTATTTTCAGTCATCTCATCTAACTTAATATCAAAATATATTTGACAAATCTCAACATCAGCCACTTTGGAACCACACGCTGGCCATCAAGTCTGGAGGCATAGCTTAATAAAAAATATATTGATATTACAATACATAATAAAACAATGTCATTTTGTTTCCAGATGTTATGGCCACCCTTTAGACAAATAGAGAGGGGGAGAGAGAGTCAGAGAGAGAAAGTGGGGGACAGAAAGAGTCAGAGAGAGAGAAAGATGCAGTGGAAATCACCCAGCATAACCTCATATCCAAAGATAACATTCATCATAATCAAAAGAATTCTCTGAAATACTTTTGTTAAGAACCCACAATTTGCCTGTTCCCATGCAAAAATGCACTATTCAGACACTGACAAACAATATCTAAGAATCCCTAGTAGAGATAATGCTGTACCATTGGCTTGTCATTCACTTTAAGGACTTTTTATTGTGGAATAGGAAAGATCTGATCGAAATGATTATGGTTCTGAAGAAATATATAGTCCAGTAAAATCACACACATTTCTACAGGTCCATACACTGAATGTCTGTTTCTTTTAGGAAATTATATACAGATAAGTGTTGTTGGAAAGAAATGTATTAGAATTCATCCTGAAAATCTTTCTTTTCCTTTTGTATGCATCTTAGAAGAAAGGAATCACAATCCTCTACAGAGGCAATGAAGTGAGAGTTTATCCCACAACTCAAGGATTTTGAGTGAAAGTACATTCTAGCTCAATATTCAGTGGACAAATAAATAGGCAGTTCACAGCCTGCCCATAGTTTACCTGGTTGGGATCTCCAAGCTCCTGTCCAGCCTCTACCCATTCATGTGGCCATATCTCTAAGTGCACTAAATTTTCCACTGTTCCCTGAATTTTCTGACCCCTACCCCTTTGGACAAACTCTTTACACTGTCTGGAATCTCTTTGCCTGCTTATCTACCTGACAAACTCCTATTCATCAATTAAGGCCCAGCTAAAATGCCATCTCTTATTAGTTTCCCTGACCTTTCTTACCCCTGCTATGACTGCAGAATTAATAACTTCCCATTTATGTTTTCAAAGCAATTGTATTATGTATCTCTACTATAGCACCTATCACAATGCATGATTATTTGTGTGCATGTACATATGCCACTCACCTCTAGACAGAGCTTCTTGAAGACTGGGTTTCTTCCTCATTTTTCCGGTACTCAGAGGCTAGCATGTTACATGGCATAGTCTGGTGAACAGAATTGAATAGAGGAAACACATAAGAGATGAACTTTCTTTTCCCTGAGATGATATCCGTCCCAGAGAATATAGAAATATCTTTACAAGACCAATAATGAGCTTAATGGTACTTAATATCAATTATGTTCAATCTTCAATTTTAGAAATAGCTTCAGATTTAGGGGTTTTTACCAATGGCAGTTAAACAAAGATATTAAAGGAAATTTTATTGCAGCAATTGCTCAAGTTGAAACAGGTTTGAGAACAAATCCAATTTAAATACATGCCATTTACTTCTATTTACCTATAAGATGTTTAAAATGGAACACTTCGGCGCAGAATTATAAAAGTCTCCATCTTCAATTTTGAATTGTGAGGAAGTCTTTTTTACAGCTTTTCAAACATTGTACTGTAGTTGGTTATTCAAAAGTTCAAATTATCTCAGATTGTTCCACTGCCGTAGATTGCTAACTATAACATTTGTTCCAGTGAACCTATCCTCTGTGGAAAGCTCTGGTTCCACTGGATTGGCTGTAGACTTCCCCAAGATGGCATAAATTATAACAATTTCTCCAGGTCCTGCTCTGTACAACTGCGTGCTCCCGTATTGATGGGCTGCAACTCAGGGCACCAGTTGATGAGGAAGGCTGTCCCTCCTCCAACTAGGGATTTTTTTAAGGCCTGAAGCCAGCAAAGATCTTTAAAATGATAATCCCCAGTTAGTGAGATTGTAAGGAAACTAGCATTCCTATAATATTTTGATGAACTTCGGTAGTGTAGAATAATAAAACTAGTCTGGAGAGCCAATCCAAGACTGTAAATCAAGAGCTTTTTAAATGTTCAGACTCTTTCTATTTCATCCCTAAAGCTCTCCCATAAAGATCTGAATGATGATGTTTCTAGCTGAGCTCTGAGTCCTTGCGTTGGCCTTGAACTTGGCCTTCTTCATGCCCTTTGCTGTCTAAAGAGTAAGTTCATCCTGGATTCATCATCAACTCAAAGCCAAAGGACCTTGAAACAGGGCCTGCTATTTATGTGGCTGGCATGGCTGCTTTTCCTCTGGAGTCAGTTTTTTTCTCATTTGAATGATTATGGGAGTATGTTTAGTCACTGTTTGAGTATCTTGATCATGTTTTCTTGCACTTTTAGAATAATGCATTCTGCTTGGTAGCATTTGTAGCACTAAACATAAAAGCAGGCTTGATTTCAGAGTAAATCTAATTGAGTTGTTCGGCTGATGGCATTTGGGGAAAATGAAAAGAACTGGGCTTGGAAATTGGTCCTCCTTTTTGAAGCTGTACAATCCTTTGTTCAGAGGAAATCTTACACATATATGAAAGTAAGTACTTTTTTTAAAAATCAGAGTAACCAGGATGGGAGAAGGAGTCAAATGTCCCAAACATCACATAGGCCCCACCTTATCCCTTCCCTCCTCCTGGGTCTCCCTCGAACACAGTATGAAACATACTGTTTTGTTGTCTGTCTGTAACTTCTCAATGGAGAATTGAAATGTCTTTGTTTTGGGTTCTCTACATTTAAGTACAAAGAACTTCCATTTCAAACAGCACTTCTTATATAGAGACCAAGAAAAGTGCATAAATGGGCATTTGGTATACAAGTATGTGGTGCTTTCATTTTCCGTTATTTAAGTTCTCAAACGAAATGCTATTTCTCTTTATGCATAGCTTTGCTCTCTCAAGCAATTTGGATCTTCTGAGATGCTCATTCCCCTTGACAGGTCATGAGAGAAAGAGAGCAGAGCAGGACAAAGATATATGTGGACAGAAGACTAGCATGGAAACGCTGGCTTCATCTTTATCATCACATGACCTTTCCTGAGCGTTTACCTCTTCATTTGTTAATGAAGCTAGCAGTATTTATGTCACAGTGTTGATGTTTGCATTAATTAAATTAAATCACATAGAAAGTCCTCAACAGAAGTACATTTCTGCTGTCCATAGTGATACAGAGTTGGAGAATTTTGTAGTAGGTGTGAAAGATGCAAGAACATCCCTAACAACTGTTGTTTTTACCACCACAAACTGATTCTCTATCTTTTAAGAAACAACAGGCCTACCATTATCCCTCCCCTGGTTTCCTGGGGAGGGTGGCTTTCCTGAGAACCTAGGGCTGGTTCAGGACCCCTACCTGTGGGCCAAATGGACCTCCCAAGATTCCAGAAGTCAAATTGTGAACTGGCATTGGCCACTCAAGTGTCCCGTCATCCTTGGGACATTTGCCCACCCTAAATCTCCCCCTCCTTCTCCCACACACATACACACAAGGAACCTTACCTATCCTTTATCTCATCTCTTCAGGGTACCCTTATATTGCCTAAATTAATGAAAAATCCATCTATTAAAAAAGTGGTTCACCCAGACAAAGACACCAGAAAAAAGAAAATTACAGGCTAATTTCCCTAATGAACACAGATGCAAAATATTAGCAAACAAATATTTTAGCAAACCAAATATTTTAGCAAACTCAACAAAATATTAGCAAACCAAATTCAACAGTACCTTAAAAGGATCGTGTACCGCAATCAAGTAGGATTTATTCCAGGGATGCAAGGATGGTTCAACATCCACAAATCAGTCAATGTGATACACCACATTAACAAAATGAAGGATAAAAATCATATGATCATCTCAATAGATGCAGAAAAAGCTTTTGACAAAATTCAACATCCATTTATGGTAAAAACTCTCAACAAAGTGGGTATAGAAGGAACGTACCTCAACGTGATAAAGGCTGTATAAGACAAACCCACAGCTAACATCATATTCAGTGGCGAAAAGCTGAAAACTTTTCCTCTAAGATCAGAAATAAGGCAGGGATGACCACTCCCACCACTTTCATTCAACATAGTATTGGAAGTTCTAGCTACAGCAATTAGACAGGAAAAAGAAATAAAAGGCATCCAAATATGAAAGGAAGAAATAAAACTCACTATTTGCAGATGACATGATACCATACAGAGAAAACTCTAAAGACTCCACCAAAAAACTGTTATAACTAATAAATGAATTCAGTAAAGTTGCAGGATATAAAATTAATATACAGAAATTGGTTACATTTCTATACACTAATAACAAGCTATCAGAAAGAGAAATTAAGAAAACAAACCCATTTACAGTTTCACCAAAAAGAATAAAATACCTGGGAATAAATTTAACCAAGGAGGTGAAAGAACCGTACTCTATAAGACACTGATGAAAGAAACTGAAGACAACATAAATAAATGGAAAGATATACTGTGCTCATAGATTGGAGGAATTAATATGGTGAAAATTAACAATATTTAATTTAACATTGTTAAAATGTCCATACCACGCAAAGGAATCTATGGATTCAATGCAATCCCCATCAAAATACCAATGTCATTTTTCACAGAACCAGAACCAAAAAATCCTAAAATTTGTATGGAACTACAAAAGACCCAAATAGCAAAGCAGTCTTAAGAAAGAAGAGCAAAGTTGGATGTATCATGCTCCCCAATTTCAAACTATACTACAAAGCTATAGTAATCAATACAGTATGGTACTGGCACAGAAACAGACACAAAGACCAACAGAATAGAATAGAAATTCCAAAAACCCATGGATATATGGTCAATTAATCTATGACAAAGGAGGTGAGAATACAATGAGAAAAAGACAGCCTCTTCAATAAATTGAAAACTGGACACTCACATGCAAAGAATGAAACTGGACCACTATCTTACAGCATATACAAAAATAAATTCAAAATGGATTAAACACTTGAATGTAAGACCAGAAACCATAAAACTCCTCAAAGAAAATATAGGCAGTCAGCTCTTTGACGTCTGTCTTAGCGATATTTTTTTGGACCAGTCTCCTCAGGCAAGGGCAACAGAAGCAAAAATAAACAAATGGGATTACATCAAACTAAAAGATTTGCACAGTGAAGGAAACCATCAACAAAATGAAAATGCAACCTACTGAATGGGAGAAGATACTTGCAAGTCATACATCCGATAAGGGGTTAATATCCAAGATATGTAAAGCACTTACACAACTTAATATCAAAAAAATAATCCAATTAAAAAATGGGCAGAGGACTTGAATAGACATTCTTCCAAAGAAGACATAAAGGTGGCCAATAAAAGGTACATGAAAAGATACTCAACATCACTAATCATCAGGGAAATACAAATCAAAACAATGAGATACCACCTCACACCTGTCAGAATTGCTGTTATCAAAAAAGACAAAAAGTAGCAAGTGTTGGCGAGGATGTGGAGATAAGGAAACACTTATACACTGTTGGTAGAATGTAAATTGGTGCAGTCACTATGGAAAACTTTATGGAGGTTTCTCAAAAAATTAAAAATAGAACTGGCATACAATCCAGCAATTCCACTTCTGAGTATTTATTCAAAGAAAACAAAAACACTTAATTCAAAGAAATATACGCACCCCTCTGTTCATTGCAGCATTGTTTACAATAGCCAAGATATGAAAGCTACCTAAGTGTCCATCAATAGAAGAATGAGTAAAGATGATGTGGTATATACCTACAATGGAATATTATCCAGCCATAAAAAAAGAATGAAATCTTGCCATTTGCAACAACGCGAATGGACCTAGAGGGCATTTTGCTAAGTGAAATAAGTCAGACAGAGAAGACAAAACCGTATAATTTCACTTATATGTGGAATCTATTTTTTTTAAAAATGAACAAAGAAAACTAAACAGAAACAGTCTCATAGATACAAGAAACAGACTAAGGGATACTAGATTGGGGAGGGGTTGGGGGGGCAGGTGAAATAGCTGAAGGGAATTAAGAAATACAAACTTCCAGTTATCAAATAAATAAGTTGTGGGGATGTAATGTACAGCATAGGGAATACAGTCAATAATACTGTAATGACTTTGTATGGTGACAGATGGTAACTAGATTTATTGTGGGGATCATTTTGTAATGTATAGAAATATCAAATCATTATGACGTACACCTGAAACTAACAGGATATTGTATGTCAGTTATACTTCAATTTAAAAAAACTGGTCCACTTACACATTTAGATGTTGTGCTATTGTTATTCCTATCTTCAAGTCAACCTTTTTCATTTTCACATCATTTATGTACTCAAAGCCTTTCATTTCCTCTTCTTTAATTCTAAGTTGAATGCTGTTGATCTCCTGGCAATGCTCCCAACTATCCAAAAGTATTTTCCACTGCCCCTGGCAGGTTCCTGCCATTCAGGTCACCACACTCACTCCCCCAACATGGCAGGGCCTGGGATGACCTCTGTGCTTCGGTCTGCTCCCTAAAATCGTACCCTCTCTCAAGGCCTGCTTCTCAGACCCTGAAACCTTCCTGCCAGACCTCTCCTCCTCCAACTCCCTACAGCTCCTGGAAACAATAACACATAGTTTAGTTCTTAATTAGCCACTGCCTTGTTTTTATTGTTTGGTTTTACTGTCTCCTATCTGCCTTCTCTCTCCAGCTACATTATACACTCTTTGACACAGGAGTAATACATGTGTATGTCTTTCATCCGTCTGAGCATGTGGTAAGAAATGTCGGTGACCTATGTGGCTTGTTGTGGTTGGTCCTTCATTGTAAAAGTTGTGGTAACTACGCGGGTGGAGGAAATGGCAGTCCAGTAGGGAATGCTTGGAGGAAGGACACCTTAGCTCTCGACTCCCTCGATACAGGCCACGTCCTTTTCTTTCCTGATAGTCAGCCCTGGACACTAACTGACATTTCTATGGCTCTAATGATCACCATGAATTAGCTCAGGGCTACGTCTCACTGAAAGTTTCCTGGAAGAGCTGAGATTTGCTTGATGGACACACAAGAATGACTCAACTATCTAGATAGAAGACATGGAGAACAAAGGAAACTCTGTAGTCACATTTCCGGGTAAACAAAAATTTACTCCTAAATTTAAAGCATCATCATCTTTTGTATTCTAATCGTTTGGTGGAAATTTATGCTATATTCTAAAATTCATAATATATTTCTCTGTTGTCTTAAATAGGTTAACGTGGACTTGGTTTAACAATGCAAGCGGCGTCTCTCAAATTTTTCTGCACAGCTTTTACAAGCAGAAGAGAGTGAACGTCTGTCTCCAAGAGAATAGGCATGAAATGCCGTATTTTTATCAATTATTATCTAAATTTTGCATTCCATAATATATCTTTTTTAAAAAATGAAGTTAATTATTTTAATCAGTGGTTCCCTAATACTGGTTCATAGATTTGACAAAGGAACACTTTGTCAAATGACCTAATTTTCACATGAACAACTTGGCCAAATGACCTCTTTGGGGAAGGTTTATGTCCCTTCTATTTGGTTAATGTTAAAATAAACTTCCTTTATGAAATGATGTTGATGAATGCCTTTAATTGACAAAAAATTCAGCCCCTCCTGTTTTATTTTACTTTAATAGTCCATAAAACGCAAAAACCTGGACCTACTGTTTTAATTTTCCATCAAGTTTTTTTAACTCTCAGAAGGATGTTCTACATGAGTCCCATGTTTTCTCTACCCTGTTGCATGCTACCTTATGCCCCCAAAACATGCATCTTTATGAACCTCAGTTTGGGGCGACGCTGGAAATCAATGATGCTCTCAGGGCCTGGAGAAGTCAGTGGGGTTTCTGGCCCCACACTGATAATTCCAGACTACTATTCTTGCCATGTTTTCCCACTTGCTATCAAGCTGTAGGCTACATGTTTCCTTTCAAGTGCCTGATGGACAGCCTGTGTCTGACTTTAGCTAGCTTCTTATACTTTCTCATGACTGGGACGCTAGATTAGCAAAGATTTTACATTGAGTATAAAAATTAGAATAAATATACCTGAGTGAGTGTCTTAAGAATTCTTCTATGAATAAATGTGTGTCAGTGTGTGGACGTCATATCTATTTTGGCCACTCAGAGATCTCTTTTTCTCTCTTCTGTGTTCTTAGCTGCATTACAAATAAGTGAGACATCTGGCAGCCAAATTCTGACTAGATGAATTGTTGCTAAACTAAAGTGATAGGGTAGACACTAAATATCCCACTTAAACTAAGAAACAATACTTGATATGAAAACCTGTGTTGTTATCTGCTGCTGCACTTGAAAAAAATCAACCCCAAAGTGCAGTGGCTCACAATAATTATTTATTCTCATGCTGACGGGTTCCAGGTCAGCTAGGATCCAGCTCATCTAAGCTGGGCTCAGCAGGCAACCTTGCTTCAGATCATGGCTCTGACTGGATGTGACTCTTTGCTGCAGGTTGAGCTCAGTTCTGTTCCGTGTATGTTCATTCTGAAACCCAGGCCGAAGGGCAGCAGCTACCTGGGGAAGGTCTTCTCATAGTGTGCAAGAGAGCAAGCCCATCTGCATAAGCACATTTCAAGCCTCTGCTTATGGCACATGTGTTAACATCCCATTGGTCAAAGCAGGTCATATGACAAAGCCCCAGCATCTAAGGGCTGGAAAATATTCTTCACCCACCATGAGGTCATGGGAAAGGTGTGGGTGTACAATACCTCTACAGGAGAGTGAAGAATTGTGAGAAATTCAATCTGCCTCAAGCTGGATAACTTCTGACCACAGCCACTAATCACAATGGACTTTCTAGAAAAAAAGAAAAAACAAACTTTAAGGCAATTTCTGAAAGTGAAAGGAAGGTAGATTGTGGGATATAAAGTGTGAGCTTTCAAATCTGATTCATTGAATAAAGGACATTATGAAAGAAATGGAAAGCAGTGCTTCCTAATGCGGCGGATGCATTAGGATGCATGTAAAACTGAGTTTGCTATAGGCTGGTTTTATAAGTGATAATTGATTGCAAATTATATTGACAGTTATTGAACATAATTATTCACCACAGGAACCATCCTTAATCAATTAATCAGGGCACAATTCAACTTCACTTCTTGCATGTGGCAACAACCAATCTTTTTTTTTTTTCTGCTTTTCTTCCCTTACCTACTTTGTCTGCTGTTGTTGAAACATTTTAACAAATTAATTAGATGTTAATTCTTAGCAATAAATGAAACCCTTAAGGTGCTTAAATTGTAAACTCCACAACAAAACCTGTTTATTCCCAAAGATATTCCTCAGACTCTGAATAAACACAGATCTCCTCCAGAGATTACATCCAAAGAAGGCTCCCAAGGCCCTCCTCGCCAGTAGCAGCCAGGAGATACGTCTCCAAGGTATACTACCGGTCTGGTTCCGTTTGATTCAAATTTTAATCAAATGCTTTTTAAAAGACATAAAAGCCATGCTTTTTGAGTTTTCAGCTGACCCAATGTTGGAAAGGATAGGTAACATGTTAGACACACACTTGAACTTCTGAACAGGCTGAGTGATGCACAGACGCTTACAAGATAAAACTTAGTCGGGAGAAGAGGAATGCAGTGTTCTCAGTGGTGGTGTACAGCCAAAGCCCCCCGGCAGGATGGGGGATATATAGAGTGGGAGCCGCCCACATGAAAAGAATCCAGCTGTTTTGGTTCACATCAAATAATAGCATTCAACAGTGAAATGTGCCTCCAAAACACTGGTGAATGCTTGGGCTGCATGCATTATCTACAGAGCCCAAAGTAAGGAAGGGTCCCCTCATCTTCTGTCCTGGTCAGACTCCAGGGAGAATATTGTATTTATTACCAGTGTTAGTTTTAAGAGGAAATTAATATGCAGAAATATATATACAGAGGATTATGATTAGGGTAGAGAAGCTGTAAGGCCACAAGCCCTGGTGGGGTAGGGCAGCAGGACACCTTGCCAAGAGATCAAAGAAACAACCCAGAGACTGTGAACAAGACATGTAGGTTTATTGGGTCCTACTTACAGGAGCATGTCCAGTGGCGACCGGCTGGATGGAAGTGTGCACCCACAACCGCCCCGCAAGAGAAGCTTGCTTATGTAGGCAGAGGAACAAAGGCTGCATGCTTGCCAAGGGGCTGTCCTTGGTACGACCAGTGTTCCCAGAACAGTAGCTCACATGGAGGGGCTCTGCGTCCCTGTAAGACGTGATGTTCTTCTGGGACAAGGGAGGATCCGGGCTGGCCAGGCCCAGATCGTTACAAATCCCAGTAGCTGAGCTGCCTGCCCAGAAGGGAGCCAGAAGGACACAGGGTTGCAATGGGCCTGGGGGTTTCTGCTGAGCAAGCAAGGCCCAGGTCCTACAGAAGCATTTCAACACCAGATTATATAAAGAATGATAGGAGAAAAAAAATACATGTTGTCTGAGGAAGGAAAAGTTAGAAGAGACAGGAGGGTTACGTTTAGATGTTTATAGGATTGACCTGGGGGAAAAGGACAAACATGGATTCTGAGCGGCAACTACAAAAACCCCAAAGAGCATTAATTGACAAAAACTTCGGAAAGGCAGCTGTCAGTCCATGAGAATCTTAGCTCGCCTCTGTGATAGCCAGTCTGTGACCTAAAGCACATTCCAGCCCCGCAGTTCCAGGATTCTGTACAGAAGAACAGATGTGTCAAATTTGTTATTACACTGAATTTTTTAAGTTCTTTCTTCTATTGAAAAATCAAGTACATCTTTGCAAAATAAAAATAGAATTTTATTATAGCAGTATCAACATTTCATGCCATTCTTTATAGTTTCAAAACTATGAATATCCAATCAAACTTCATAATTGCTTTCATAAATGCCTAATTAAACTATAAATATTATTAAACATATCCACGTACAATAAGGATTGGAAACATCTGGATGGAAAATGAAAAATTTAGACAAGCAGCTGGATATTTTACCTACACAATGCTAGACACCAAGATATTCAGAAACATCAAATGGCTGATAGAATTTTGGCACGTCATCTGGATATTTGACTCTATCTTCTACTTTATTTCAAAATACTTCTTAGTTTCTCAGTTTCTCTATTTTTTAACGGGTATATTTTCTGCATTCCTCCTATTGAATAATAGCATTATCAAGTCACAGATAAAACTCTGTTTCTCCTTCCCTGCCAGCTGTGTCTGCTCTGCCCTCACCCGCTTTGCCTCACTATTCACTGGAGTATCAGAAGTGCAGAGAAAAACAAGACAGGGGCTTTTGGAATACACCCCCTTCCTCCACCCTTCCGCCTACAGCCTGTGATGACTGTCAGAAGATCCAGCCAGTCTGGCTTCAGAACCCTCGACTGTGAAACGTTCCTCAAACTACCCTCTTCTCCGAAGCCCCCACCATGTTTCCACCTTAGATACTTGATCCATTTCCAGTTGAGTGTCTTCTCTGAGCTTAGTTTCCAGAGCAGTGGCTCCCTTGACTTGCCTGATGGTCTCTGTCTTCACGGCGCTTACAGTCAAAATAATAATGATGAAAATACTAATTCCGGGTTAATGAGCACTTGTCATGCTCAAGAGTTGCTTTAAGTGGCTTACACGAATGAACGCATTTAATATTCACAACAACTCTATGAAGCAGGTTCTGTAATTATCCTCGTTTTGCACATGCGGAAACTCAGACAAGTAAATCTAACAATTTGCCCACATTCTCAAGACCCAGCACCGCAGACCCCCAGTACATATCCAGGTTTTCTCACTTGGGAGCTCCTCTGTTAACCACTATGCTGCTCTGCCTGTCTGAACAGTCTACTCTAATTTCCAAACATTTTGCCAAAACTCAACTGTTCTCAAACTCAAAAAAGATAGTTATAATGGATTCCTCCCATGTTTCAAGCAGGATCTGCAACATGGCATATGTTTCTAGAAGATGATGTATACTTGTTACTAGGAAAATGATGTTTTGTCCTAACTGAGAAGTTCTAACAACTGCCTTCCTAGGATAAGCGCACTTGTCCTTTGCTTGTTCTCATTGTTCTCCATACAATATAAATGCAGCACGTAATCTTGTACCGTTTAAATACTTTTACATGTTTTATGCAGGTTAATCCACATAAATGAAATATTTCATTCATTCGTTCAACAAATATTTACTCAACTGCTCTAGGCACTGATGACACAGTAATGAATAACACACAAAAATCTCTGCCTTCAGGGAACTGTCATTCTGTTAGGGAGACATGGTAAGCAAGATAAAAATATAAATTATATGGTATGTTAAATGTGAATATAGAGAATATAAAGTGAAGAAGGAAGATATGCAGTATCAAGAAGGGGTTTAAATTTTAGATTATGGTGTCCAGGAAAGCATCAAGAAGAACATGACTTTTAGAGTTGGCCCTGTCTCTGAGTGGTTAAGTTCACACACTCCACTTCAGTGGCCCGGGGTCCACCAGTTTGGATCCTGGGCACAGAACTACACAACGCTCATCAGGCCATGCTGTGGTGGCATCCCACATAGAAGAACTAGAAGGACTTACAACTAGGATATACAACTATATATTGGGACTTTGGGGAGAAAAAAAAAAAGGAAGATTGGCAACAGATGTTAGTTCAGGGCCAATCTTCCTCACCAAAAAGGAAAAAAAGGAACATGACTTTTGAATAAAGACCTGTAGGAATGAAGGATCCAGCCATGAAGAGATGTGGATGGGGAGCATTCAAGACAGGAGGGCAGGGGACCAGCCCATGGCCAAGTGGTTAAGGTCGCGCACTCCGCTTCAGCAGCCCAGGGTTTCACTGGTTCGGAGCCCGGGCACCGACATGGCACCGCTCATCAAGCCATGCTGAGGCAGCATCCCACATAGCACAACCAGAGGCACTCACAACTAGAATATACGACTATGTACTGCGGGGCTTTGGAGAGAAGAAGAAGAAGAAGAAAGAAAAAAGACAGGAGGGCCGTCTGAATTGGGCGTCTGACTGGCATGTTCCAGAAACACCAGGAAGACAGTGTGGCTGGAGGAAAGAAAATAAGAAGTTGAGGCAGGGGACAGAAACAGAGGGTCGTCCCTCTGGAAGGGGTCATCCCAATCATAAGGAACCTTACAGGCCGTTATAAAGAGTTTGGCTTTCATCTGAGTGAGCTGGGAAGCAATTGGAGGGATTTGAGCAGAGGAGTGACATAATCTGACTCACGTTTGGACAGGATCCTCTGACTGCACACTGAGAACAGACCGCAGAGGGGCAGGGCTGGAAGCAAGGAGCCAGGTAGGAGGTTGTCACTAGGATTCAGGTGAGAGATCCAGCAGCTGGACCAAGGGGTTGCAATAGAGGAAGTAAGAATTGATAGAATTCTGGATATGTTTTGAAGGTAGAGCTGATAGAATTTGCTGACAGATGTGAGGTATGAAATAAAGAGAGGAGTCAAGAAAGACAATGAGATTTTTGGTCTGAACAAATAGAAGAGGGTTGATTAAAAACTCCTTGAAGAGAGAATTAGCCACACATATTCACTTAATACATAATGGATATAAATTTTTAAAGAGTAAAATGAATTGAAATTCCTCTGGAAAGTGTTAAGGATGTGTAAAGCAGAAATAGGATAATATGAAGGTGTGTTATTAAAATAGAGCATGCTTCACCATTTAAATATGACATTGATAGCCCCGAGTATCCCGTAAATAAAAAGAAAGGCTTAATTCTTCCCACAGTGATGTTCAGATAGCAGATACTGAACACAGCATTAAATATTTGCCAGAAAATCTGATAGTCAGATTTTGATATTTATTAAGGACTTTCCATATTGAGTTTAATTAAGGATTTGATTATGAATTCTACCTTGAAGGCATGATTACTACTTATCTCTTCACTCTTGGGCCAAAGAGAATTACAGATGCTGAATATCTGCACTGCATCTATGAAATAGTCATTAGTTTGCAAAGGCTTCTCTTTTCTTAGTGTTGAAAATTGCCTGGAGAAATTTAACTCATTCAGCTTTTATGGTACTCTTATAAGGAATACTAGATGTATTTTTAATATTATAACCAAGAAGATAGATGAATCATCACAACTAATTTCCTGATAAATATGCAGTTGTCTTTTATTACCCTTTTATTATCACATATTAGACTTTTATTCCTGTTAATACTGTAAAATATGGCAGGAAAATAATCTGTTTTCTTAGAGGATGTGTACAGAATTCACTCCTCACTTTCATTACTTAACTTAGTGCCTTTTCCTAGCTTTCCCATTTCCAAGGTGTCAATGGAAAAACGTCACCATGGAATAAGAGACTCACTCTTTAAGGAACTCTATTGTTAGCTAAGTACCTTAGGCATCATAAACAGCTGAAGGGTTATTGCAACCCATTTTAGCTCTTAGAAACTTCTGAAACACTCTGTTAAACGTATGAAGAGTCATACGACTGTTCAACAAAGAAGGGACTCCTAGGACGTAGGTGGTGTCTCTGCCTTAAGGAATTAAAAGGCTAGAATATCATAAACTGGCAACACGTGGCAGCCCTACAACCCCTCAGAAAGTAACGGGGCATTGCCTTTCTCTAACTGAACACTGCTGTCTGGTCTCCTCTCCACTCCTTTCCACCCAGATTTACTCTTACTCATTCTTAGCCTCAGAAATATTTAGAAAACCTGGTTTCCTTTGAAGACGTAAGAATGGTTAGAGAAGCATTAATCACATTGTACAATCAAGCAGTAGGAGGGGAAAACAAGCAAAGATGAATACATGTGTGCCCTTGCTCTCCCTTTGCAAATGATCTGGAAAAATTAACCCAAATGCTAATGAATTTTAAGAGCATCATGTCAAATGAGTGACCAAGCAAGCAATGATCAAAATTGAGTTCAATCCAAACAATTACAGCAGATACAAATTTTCGAACCCTATATTTGAATGCGTAAAAATTTTAACTTTATTAATTTTTTTCTATAATACTTCATAATATGTTCAGATACCCTCCCCCAGTGGTATGATAGAACAGGCTTGTACCGGCTCAAAAGTTGGTTGTGTTCATCTCTTCTCAGGTCCGTACTCACTGACATCAGGTTGGTAGTTTGAAATTGGCTGTCGTGGGAGTATTTACACCACGGAAATCAGCAAATGTTACAAATCTGGATTTTGTTTTGTTTTGTTTTGTTTTC